ACATAGTCAGTGTGTGTCAGAGGTGAGACTTAACTCAGATCTTCCAGACTCTGAGACCTGCTCTCCATTCCCTATACCACATTGTCTGTCTATAGTCACACCCACTTATGTTTAGAAGTTCTTAAATTTCTTGATGGCCTTAGGGTTCAATTTATGGTAGGACTAATCTGGGAAAATGGAAGACTCTAGTACTTTTCCTTTCAAGTGTGTGATATAACATGAATCTATGACTTAAATTGGATCATAGCAGTAAATTATTCCATTGTGATTAAGAAACAATTCACAGAATTCTTTATATCTAAAATATAACTATTAGAATGGAGAAGGAGGCTCTTAACATTTTAGGTGTCATGGACAACTTTGATAATATGGCAAAGACTATGGACCTCTTCTCAAAACTGTGTTTTTAATTGCACAAAATATATAGGGTTACAAAGGAACCTAATTTTGAAATAGAGTTATCGTATTTTTTATAGTAGATTTAAGAACCTCAAGTTAAGAAACTTTGAATCAGAAAACAAAAAGAGTAAGACACTCTCCAAAGGCAAGATAAAGTTAGAATGAACTAAGGCTGGTCACTAGCCAGTTCTAGCATGTGCACCAAATTGTCTCCATTTTTTTTTCATTAACTATACCCCATCTGGTAAATATTTTCTTCTTTCCTATCAGAACAGGAGACACAATGGAGCTAAAATAAAAATGTTTGTTTTTGATGGTGACTACAGCTGAAGTTGAGTTCTACAACTTACTATAATGATTATATTTAATGTTTCATCATTACCAAGTAATTCAAAACTCCATCTCATATAGATACACATGAATGCACATACAGACAAGTGCTCAAGTTCAGACTCTGGGTTCATCGTCCCTCACTTCACTATACAGAGTTCACCAAAGGCTCAACACCACACCAGTCTTTTATATCTCCCATGGTTCTCTCTTCGTTACTTCTCAAATTAATTTCACTCATTAAAAAACTTCTTGACTTCCTGTCTCATACATACATATGCAAGGACCAGATCTCCTTATCATTATTTCAAATGTACTTGATCGCCAGAGGCAAAACAAGATATTGATTTGCTCTAACTAGTTTGGACACATTGATAATTAATGATTTTAAACTGTTGTACATACCTCTATCTGATTCCTCCCAGGATTCTCAACTTTATGCTAGCCTACACTGAAACTTTTTAAAAACTGTATTTTGCTGGTAACCGAAAAACAGGTTTTAATAATCCTTGTCCCTACAAAAATATGAAAAAAATGAAAAGAAAACTAAGGATATTAAATACATACTTAGACTAAGTAATTTTAAAGTATTGTTAACTTTAATTTCTTTGTTCAAAGGGAAGGTCTAGTTAACTACTTGGTCACAGAAAGAACAGCAAGAATGTTTTCATATTCTTTTTTACAACATTATTGTTGTAACATTCTAACTAGTAACTTGGGATTCCATTGATTGACTGAGAATGAGAAGTCCTAGACGAATTACAGAATGGAGTTCCTTCCCTTCTTGTTTTGTTTTTTTTTTTTTTACCCCACTCAAAGACAAATAGAGGGAAGTAGAATACCTAGAAAAATTACTGGGCCCATGTGATGACAGGACAGAGAAGAATAATTATAATGGCCTGTATTTATATAGCATTTAAAATATAGTATCTCCTCAAAACACCTTTTATATTCCCAGCATCTAGTGTGATGACGTAGATACAGTAGCTGCTTAATAAATGCTTGATGGTTAACTGATTCCCTCTCCACTCAGAAATTTAATTATATTCTGTATCTCAGCCAACCAACTAAAAGAAAGGGAAAAAAAAATCCTTGCTGACTTCTTATTCCACTCTACCTTCTACTCTTGAAATTACTTTTAACGTAAGGCCCTGAAAAGGAAGAATTTTTTGTTTCTGTCTTTGTATTCCTAGCATTTATTGCAGTGACTGACACAAAGTAAGTTCTTAATTAATACTCACTGAAAAAATGAATGAATAGGATTGAGCTAAAATTAGCTTTCAAATTACTGGGCAGCTAGGTAGTGGAGAGAACTAAGCAAGAGTGAGGAATATCTGATTTCAAATCTAGCCTCAAACATTTAATAGCCGTGTGATCCAAAACAAGATACTTAACCTCTTTCCCTAAGTTGCCTCATTTGTAAAATGGAGATGATAATAAAAACATCTACCTCCCAGGATTTTGTGAGGATCAATGAGATACATAAAGTGCTTAGCATATTGCCTGGCAAATAGTAAGTACTACATAAATATTAATTTTTTACTGTTATTATTATTATTATTATTAGCTATAATGGTCAGTCAGCCAATCAATTTGCATTTATTAATCACTATGTACCAGGCACTGTGCTAATTTCTGGGGATGCAAAGAAAGATAAAAACACTTCTCTGCCCTGAAGAAGCTCACAGTGAAATGGGGGAGAGAATATGTAAAAAAAAAAAAAACTATGAACATGCAAGATATAGATAGAGTTAGATGGGAAGTCATCTGAGAATGGAAGGAACTAATAGTGGGGAGATCATCTAACCCTATACCTTCATTTTACAAATGAGGAAGCTGGGGACCGTGTATGTTAATCAACTTGCCCAAGGTCATACAGGTAGTGGAGGCAGAGCTAGAATTAAAATCGAAGTCTTCTGATTTCAATTCTTGCCCTCTTTTCACTAACCACTCCATTACTTATTTCTGTGGTTTTATAAACCCTAAATTTTTACTTTGCAAGCTGGATATGATAAATCATGTAGAGGAAGGTGAAAACTGAGGTACATGTGGCACAAAGAAGGAATACTGAATATCCCCATATACCTACACTGGCATCTGCTTGTTTACCCAATTCCACCCACTCTCACCTCTGTCCAGCTCAGTTCCAATTCAGAGTTAACCTTCTAGACAAAAGAAGTAAATATTTCCAGGGCTAAATAATCAAACACAAAGTAGTGTTTGGAGATGTCCTTAGGCCCATTGTGACCCATGCAAATCCATCTCTGTCCCCTATGTTTCATCTTGATTCTTCTCCCCTCCCAAAGCTGTCATCAGAGATGCCCCAGTTGACTTATCCTTATCTACAATTTACTCCATCCTAGACCCTCCCCTCACCTGTTACAAAGCACAACCACATAAATTACAAAGTCTTAAATTGTAAAAGAGGGACTGGCTCTTTCTGATAAAAGTCATTATCGCCATTTCCGGGTGCTGATAACAAGTGTATTTTGGCTTTGATATGTGCCTTAAGGCAGCGAGAGAAAGTGTTGCCAGGGTTTCAACTTCATGCTTTGATCAAGCATTCCACTTTTGTTCTTGCTACCCATCTCTGAGGACCTTTGATGTCATCTGAAAAACCACAACGGAATTATTCAATGCTCTTTTTCGTTCACCCCTGGAGCAAAAGGTAGCATGACATTGTTCCTCTCCCCATCTGCCCTTCTACCTGACCTGAAGTGCCAAATCTCTACCATCCCTTCCCAAATGACCTTGGCTTCACTCCACGACCTCCCTCAGCATCTCCACCTGACTGAACATCAATGAGGTTTGGTACAGCTACATCTGAGCAGCTCTTGATGTTCAAATCTTGGCATTCAAGAAGACGCCACACAGGTCAAGAAAAAGGACAGGAATCAAGGGCTGCTTAGGTTCAATGGTACATAATCAGAAAAAAAATGAACTAAATATGTCCACATTTGATCTTTTCAATGTTTCCTCCACCTTCTCCTTTAACTGCCTCATCAGTTTCCCCATAGTGTCCTGGACTTTAAGTGCAATTACTAAATACAAAATGACTTTCACTTATTGCTACAACAGTAACCAGCCTACATTCATCTTTTATTACCTCTGTATCTAATATGACAGAAATTAAATTATAGAGTATTATCTCACAGTAATTAATTGCAGATTGCTCATTTCTAATAGGCATAGAGATCGGGGGGGAAAGTTTGGGAAGTTCATCAGATCAGAGATTTAGAGTTCATTTTACAGATACACAAACTGAGGCTGAGAGGTCATAAATTGCCCAAAGTTATGCAGAAGTAGCAGAATCAGGATTCAAATTCAATATTCTTAACTCCAGTGTTTTTCCCCTGTGCCATTAAAAGTTTATGAGCTATTCCTATCAATGTTATTGCATTATATTATCTCCTGAAATATTTTCCAGAATTTTTTTCTATTTTTAAGTATAGCAAATGAAGTCGCAATAAAACAAAGAATGCCCACAGTAACTAGATAGTATGATCATGTAACTAAATATGTGTATCCACATTTGAAGATAATCTATCAGTAGACTAGACTTTGTTGAATAGAAGTTCAATATGAATTGGTAATGAAATGTGGCAGCCTTTAGCTTTCTTTCATTTATCGTCTTTCCCTGTTATATTGTATGTTTCTTGGGAGAAGGGGCTGTCTTTTCTTTATGTATTTGTATCCCCAGTACTTAAAACAGTGATAACACATGGGAGAATCTTAGTAAGTATTTATTGGCTACTGACTATCAACATGAGAGGATGGATTGAAGGAATTGGAAGAATGTTACCCAGGAAAATACAAGGCTTCTGAGGATATGAAAGGTGTATTCTAATATTAAAAAGGGTGACAGAAAGAAGAGGAATAAGACTTCTTCTACTTGACCCTGAAGTATAAAACCAGGACCAAGGAGCGGTTTATAGACAGGTACTATTCAACTCAATTTAAAGAGATATGTTGCAATTATTAAAGGAATTCGGAAGTAGAATGGGGTGTCTCATAAGACATTCAGTTCACCATGATTAGAAGTCATTAAATGGAGCTTGGATGATCACTTTCCAGGGGTGTTGGAGTTTGGACTCTTTGACACTCTTGCCTGTTGGAGCATCAGTTGGCCTAGATGGCTGACCTTTAAAGTCCCTTCCATCTCTGAGCAGCTGTGCTTTGTAGTAAATATTTGTTTTTAAGTAGATGAACGTGTTGATAAGAGAAGGAATTTCATTGCTTTATCAAATATAAAAGTGAACACGTCTCCTTACCTTATTATTATGCAGTCCCACAGTCAGAACACTATCTGCCATAGAATAATAAAATTGAAGATGGCAATGTTTCCCAAAGCAGTAGCACTCAGAGCTAGTAAGATAAGCATTTCTGGAAAATGTGCCTTTATCAGCTCCCAGCCACATGTAGTGACCTGAAAAAAAGGGGAGGAACATGTGGATATTTAATAAATTTAATTACTTTTTAACAAAATTACTATATTTATATACTTTTTTTGTAAAGTGGTACCAAAATAGAACTGCTTTGTTTTAAAGGATATGAAATAGCCAATCGATGGAACCACATAAAATTGTAGAATGTTTCTCCAGCACATCATGACCTCTAGTTCTTTAATTCTTTCCTGTTGTCTTACCCATCACCACTCTTCCAGTACCATTTTCCTCCTTTCAAATTCTGACTTTAAAACTAGCCATTTTAACAATGAGCCTTCCCTGTGTCCTTCAGGGTATCATCAAAGTTGGGCCACCTTCCACCATCAACCTCCATTACTAGTGCCGAGCTAGAGACCACTGTTGGAACAAAAGAAAGGGCAATGCTTTCTACACTACACCACAAATTCATGGTATCTAACCTCCGCTGGTGTCCCGTTGCTGCATGCCAATCCTTCTATTCACTTGGCAAAGAGTATCCCTGTGTATGTCACCCAGTTGTTATGCAAAGAACTCACTCATCTTTACTTCTCTATTCCTCAAAATCTTTTTGTGTCACCATCTAAATACTCTTCCTTCCAGGCTCAGAAGACAAGATGGGCCTCATCTTGCCAAACTTAACTCATCTATTTGTGTCCTTGATCACATTATCACCATTCTCCCATCCAGTCCTCTCTGAGATTTTGCTCTCCTGAGTTTTTTTTTAAAATTATTCATCCTTCATCTCTCTCTCTCTGTTGATTGTTTCTCTTCTGTTTAAAAACATGCACATGTCCCCTATCCTACAAAATCTTTCCCAGGATACTGCTATCCTCTTGTGTTATCATCTCCTTTCTTCTCTCCCCTTCAGAATAAAACTCTGGAAAAAATAATCTGTATTCATTGTTGGTGTCTTTACTTCGTCACAATCACGCTTTTAGATTGAGTAATTTAGCTTCTATTCTGCCTCTCCAATGGAATTTTTTCTCTAAAGTTATTTTTTAGTCAAATCTGTGATATCATTGGTTTTTAGAAAAAGCCCTATAAAAGAAATTCCCTCTATCAATGATGGTTAGCACATGCAGCTAGGTGAAGAGTACAAGTGGAGAAAGAGCTGGGCCTGGAGTCAGGAAGACTCATTTTCCTGAGTTCAAATCTGGCCTCAAACACTGACTAGCTGTGTGACCCTGGGCAAGTCACTTAACCATATTTGCCTCAGTTTCCTTCTCTGTAAAATGAACTGGAGAAGGAGATGGCAGACCACTCCAGTGTCTTTGCCAAGAAAGCCCCAAATAGAGTCACAAAGAGTCAGACGTGACTGAAATGACTAAATGACAACATGCTTAGCAACATACAGTCTCTTCAAAGAGTCACCTTGGGCACAGAGAAATTGAGTGATGCTTTCAGAGTCCAATGAGGTGGGCTCTCTAGCCACTATGCCAAGCTATCTCCTAAGGTCAACAGTAATCCCTTAATGTATAAGTATAACGGCCCCTTCTTAGTGTTAACTCCCTTCTGCAATATTTGACAATGTTAATCACCCCATTCTTGTGGTTACTCTTGCCAGCCTCAGTTCTAGTGATACTGCTCTGTTCTTCTCACACCTGTTTGATCATTCCTCCTCAGTGTCTCTAATGGTTTCATCCTCCTCTTTTTGATCTTTTAATTTGGGAACTTTACAAGACTTTATATTTAACATTTTTTCTCTTTGTCTTCCTAAGTGATTTCATTAATTCCCAGGGTTTCAGTTAGTGTTTCTAGTCAGATGACTTCAAATCACTCAAATCCCAAATACCCAGTAGAATCTCTCCCTTTACCTCCAAGTCCACATTTTAAACTATTTATGAGATTTTTCTACCTGATGGATTTCTCATAATTTCTCACATTCAATACATACAAGACTAATTCATCATCATCCTTTCACCAAAATCTGTTCATCTTCCCTACTTCCCTGTTTCTACTGATGGCAACACTGTCCTCTCAGTCATCTAAGTGTTAAATCTCAGAACAATATTTTACTACTTCTCTCTTTATTTCCTACTTTCAATCAATTGCTATTTCCTTGGAATTTCATTTTGATGATATTTCTCTTATCTTTCTCTTCATTCACAATGGCACCATCGTAGTCCATCTTTTTTTTAAATGAACTGTTGTAGTAGTCCTCCAAACTGGTCTCTCTGACCTTAGTCGTGCTTTGTTAAAGCTACCCTGCTGCAAAAATAATCTCTCTAGTGCACAGATCTCATCATATATGGTACAATAGAAAGAGTCAGCATTCTTTCTATTGTCTCACATCCTTACTATTTAGATGACCTTGGCCATCACTTCATTTCTCTAGATCTCAACTTCCTCACCTTTAAAATAATGGGGTTGGACAAAATGACCCCATAGGTCCGCACTGGCTCCAAATCTATGATCCTGTGATCATTCTTCTGAGAATTGCTCCATATTACCTATAGTATAAGAAACAAGTATTTGACCCTCATATTCAATGCCCTCCACAGTTTGCCTTCTACCTACTTTGTGAAGCTCATTTCATACTCCTTCCTTTGACAGTTCCTGTATTACAGTAAAATTATACTACTCTTTCCCAATCTTACTTTACAGTCTTCTGCCCTCATCTACATCTGTAAGTTCTTCCCCTAAAGTAGAACGCTTTACATTTTTGCTTCTTGACATTCAAAGGGCTCATCTCAGGTGCTGCTTCTTCCATGAAACTCTCCTTGGTCCTTGCCTACAAGCTGAAAGAGACCTCTTCCTCCTCAAATTGTCAAATTCCTTATTACACTTTGTCTAGAATCTGTCTTGCATTTATCCCATTCAACCAGCATAATACCTATTAGTAGGCATATCTTATCCTATGAGATTGCAACTTAACAGAGCCCAAATGTTGTCAGTATCCCTACTACCTTAGAACAATACCTTGCATATGGTCAGTCAATAAACATTTATTAAGCATTGACTATGTACCAAGTATTGTGAAAAGCACTGGGGATACAAAAAGAGGCTAAAGACAGGCTCACCTCCTCAGAAGTTCAAAATCTAATGGGGGAGACAATAAATGAACAAGCAGGCATAAACATGTTATATACAGTATAAATAGGAAATAAATTAAAAAGGGAATTAAGAGGGTCTAGGAAATGTTTCCTGTAGAAGATAGGATTTTATTTGGGATTTAAAGGAAACCAGGGAATCCAGTAAGCAGACATGAGGAAAGAGGGAATTCTAGGCAAGGGGGAAAGCTAGTGAAAACGTCCAGAGCTAAGACAAGGAGTGTCTCGTTCATCATGGAAACTTGCTTAATTGAATGGAATCCCAGAGTAAAAAAAAGTCTTCCCTTGTCATGTGATATGACTTGACTGAAGCACAAATCATCTCTGATACAACAAATCATCCAATTATCAAGCATTTATTAAGGGTCTACTATGTATCAGGCACTATGCTAAGATGATCTCTAAGGTACCTTCTAACTTTTGTACTATTCCCCATCTAGTTCATGAGTAAATGCCTCCAGTGATGTACACATGGTAATTTTTTTATTATAAATACCTAGCCTACTAGTTATTCAATCTTCTTCCTAATTTCTAGAGATAAATTTTGATGAAGACAAAAGGAATGAGAATTACTAGAATTATTTTTCTATTAGAATAATCTCCATCTTCCCAACTATGGCACCATCCATTTGACAGCCTTTCATTTTCAGTTAGTCTCTAATCATTATTGTTTTTGTTTAAGGGGGAGGGGTCCTGGAATTTATGTGCTGCTTTCTCAGTAGGTTTTCAGTTTTTACTGTTGAGCATCCCTTTGATATAGGACAAGCTTTGAGGTATATAACACATGAAATGGGAAGGAGGGAGAAGAAAGTGTGCTGCATTTCACAAAATGAACCAGGAAATGGAAGACCTCTACAACCCCATGCAACTTAAGTTGTAAGTTCTGTTTCACAGAACAAAACAGGCCTTTTCCTCTGAGGTAGGAAATCATTTTAGACCTTTCCTAATTTGCAATATACCAAGATCCAACAGAGAAGTTTTCTATGTGTCAAAACTCAAAGTTTTTATAAATATCATTCCATGTTTGTGTGTTTGTTTGTTTGTTTTACCAATTGCCTGGCAACTCTACCTGCACTTATAAAAACTCTAAGTACATTATAGTAAATGTATGTAAACTGGATAAACTAATCTGTAAAAATGCCACTACCACATGAATCTAATCTTTACTGGGTTTTTAATAACTTTAGAAGAAAGATCATGAGTCACTAGAAAGGTTAAAAATCTTGTTTTCATCATGACTTTGTTGTAATATAGCATATGGTTATTTTAGTGGTATTGGGTACCTCCTTCACATACTAAAATGGTTTTAAAAGGAAAATAAAACATGTAAAGAATTAATTAAAATATAATGAAATCACTTCAGAAATCCAACTTACAGTACAACAAGAATTCTGAATTAGTTTGTTCACCAAAAGGGGCCTATCCCCCCAGGCCTGATACTGTAGAAATAGTAGAAATGATGACAGTCAAAAGGAAGATAATACATTTGCTTGGTAAACAAAAATCAGATGGATGGGAGAGTATATGAGTTTAAAGTACTGAATCCCAGTAGTTTAATAGTACATAAGAAAAAAATCAGGTTATATGATGTTATGTTATGTCAAAATTCTTGAATGAAAATCTTTCCAAAATTTTCTATCAGACATTGAATTAAATTTAATTCAACAAAGATGTTTTTAAAATGTATATGATGTGTTAGATACTGTGCAAGGCTACAGCATAAAAGGTGATACAAATGACCCAGTCCTTGAGCACAGAAAACTTCCAAAAAAAGCAAAATGTGTAGGGAATGAGGATGACTGACAGCTTAGGGAGGAGACATGTTACATGTATACAAATCACTATAGCTCAAGTTAAAATATATTTGTGAACAGAAAAGATAAATATGGAGTAGCATGAGAGATTAAGGAATGTAAAGACTTTCTAGCTTGTGGGGATCAAAGAAAGATTGA